TAGTTCGATGCGTGGTGCGGCCTGCCATCTGAAAGCGATATGGCAGCTATCAGAATTTTCAAAAGGAAAGATCAGCTAATTTTTCATGGATTTAAGTGAAATTTGTCAAAATGGGAACGCTCTCTGAGGGGTGTTCTGCACGGAGTACTGCTTCTGGGATGGCTCGTTAATAATTTAGCTAGGCTGTCAACGGTGCATTCAGATTACCCACTAGAAAACTGCGCTAGGAAACATCTCATTGTGAGGGTGACATAAACTCTTCCCACCTCGGGCTTGTAATTCCCGTACTGCCCAAAAGGAGCCAGGCCCCGAAGTTAAGATCTCCCTCCTCCGGAAACATTTCCTTGGTGACTTGCCAGCGGGAGGTGGCATCTCCCTTCCCCGGACTCCCCTGGCATGAAATACCGACCTTACTTTCTCAGCTAGGCCACAGGGACCTGGGGAGCAGGACCCACGCCCAGCAGGGACCTACCTCTGCACCCTCACCTTCCCAGGGAGAACAGCCCCGAGCACAACGCCTTAGGACGAGTGCGAGCCAGCCCGTGTTCGGGAATGCATGAATGAGCGGGTCATGCAGGCCTGAGTAGTTTGGTCTTCTTGGTCTTGCTGCACCCCCCAACGTGTAGTTACTTGCTAAAAATCTTTGTGTTTGCCTTCCTAACACAACAGGCTGATACCTAAGTTCAAGTGGCCATCCCACAGCGATTCTGGATAGTGAGCTCCATTTGGACCGACGCTCACCTAGAAAGTCTGCCTGCATCTCTTCCAACACGCTGTGCTTGGAAAATATTAACCAGGCACCTGGGCCGGCAGAGGGTGTGGATGTCAAGGTGCTGGGCCCCACATGGCCGACTGACTGGTTTCAGTCCTGGACCTGCTGCCTTGAAAGTCACGCCGGGAGCGTGCGTGTGTGCCCCCCAAATCGCGAGAGGAGTGGAGGAGAAAGGGTTGTGGCGTGGCTAGTCCTCCCAGGGGGTGATTTCTCATTTTCTCTCTCTGTCCAGCACACTCACCCTAAACAAAAAAAGTTAAAAAAATAAAAATAACCAGGCATTTACTTTCTTTCTGAGAGCTACATCATTTCATTTAACATCTATAGCTGTTAGAACTTCGGCAGACTTGTGAAAAACATCTCTTATTAAAAATGAATACATAGGGCTCCTGTTGTGTTCTTCCTCCTTAAACTCCCTACTGATGCAGGAAAAGGTTTGTTGTTTGGTGTGCTTCTACTAGTACAAGGGGTCTCTTCCTCATTATTGCACTTTCTGGAAAAGAAAACACCTGAGTTTCAAGATTGTGCGTCATTATGACATTATAACACCATAGTTAAGTACCAGTAGACAGAAGGGCAGAGGGGGGTAAAAGTGGGGGAGGTTCTCTTGGTCATTTCTGTCTACTGTACATGGTAAACGACCAACCTTTTGCAGTTTTCAAAAAAATTAGTTTCAAAGAGCAAACACCACGATAACCACTGCATTTCCTTCTCTGTATCTGCTTATCAAGAACCAAATGTTCCTGAGACCAGCGGTTGGCGTAACGGTTACATCGCTGGACTCCCCGTGGTCGACCGCGGTTCACGTCCCGGACCCGGTGGCTTAAACTCATGCCAGGTGCATGTGCATGCGTGCCCAAGATTCTGAGGAGAATGGAGGAGAAGGGACTGTAGCGTGGCCATTCCCCCAGGGGTGATTTCTCGCTTTCTGTCTCTTGTCTCTCTCTGTCTTTCTGGTGAGCGCACACGCCCTATAGCAAAAACCTCTCCCCCCAAAAAAGAACAGAATGTTCCTGAAAGCCATCAAGGCACAGCTCAGGTCCGCAGAACAGCGTGACGCCACGCCAAGGAGACTGCCGTCCGCTCTTTCTCGAAAGTTCTCCCGCACACCACGCCTCCTCCCCATACCTTGGCCCGTTTTTCTCTCCTTGAGGGTACGTTTACTTTCTCATGCCCTGAACTCAGTAGAAGAACGACTATTTAACCTTCCGGCTCCACTGATGGCTGGAAACAGCTATTCCCAAAGTGTGTGCAGGGGGTTCTTAGTCCTGAAGAGCCCCCCTCACCTACCTCATTCCACTTGGTGGCTTGGAGCGGGCACAGGCCTTGCGAATCACACAGCACCAACCCTCTCTGAGCAAGACCCTGGGGGAGGAGAAGGGAGGAGAAGGGACTGTAGCGTGGCCATTCCCCCAGGGGTGATTTCTCGCTTTCTGTCTCTTGTCTCTCTCTGTCTTTCTGGTGAGCGCACACGCCCTATAGCAAAAACCTCTCCCCCCAAAAAAGAACAGAATGTTCCTGAAAGCCATCAAGGCACAGCTCAGGTCCGCAGAACAGCGTGACGCCACGCCAAGGAGACTGCCGTCCGCTCTTTCTCGAAAGTTCTCCCGCACACCACGCCTCCTCCCCATACCTTGGCCCGTTTTTCTCTCCTTGAGGGTACGTTTACTTTCTCATGCCCTGAACTCAGTAGAAGAACGACTATTTAACCTTCCGGCTCCACTGATGGCTGGAAACAGCTATTCCCAAAGTGTGTGCAGGGGGTTCTTAGTCCTGAAGAGCCCCCCTCACCTACCTCATTCCACTTGGTGGCTTGGAGCGGGCACAGGCCTTGCGAATCACACAGCACCAACCCTCTCTGAGCAAGACCCTGGGGGCCCCGGGCAGTCCCTGAGGGCCCCGATCCTGCACGGCTCACGGCAGCCAGTGCGGCCGACCACACAGGCCCTGGCGCTGGGAGTCCCGTGTTCCTACGCCTTTCCTGGTGCTCGTGGCTCTCCCTGGGACTACAGCCGTGACCCTCAACTGTGTTTCTGGGTGCCAGACATGCAGCAGATGGGACTTAGGTCTCCCGACTCCTACTCAAGGTGTGACCCACAGACCAGCCACGTCTGCATCTCCTGGATCGGGTCGGAGTCCAGGCCTCAGCGCAGACCTGCTGTGTCACACTCTGCTCTCCAACAGCACCCCCAGCTGATCTGCAGGGCATTAAAGTTTCAGAGGTGCTGCTCCACAGCAGAAAGAAAAATGGGAAGACCCTCCGGATCATTTATAACCAGCTGACTTCGCGCGGCCTGTGCTAAATCACCTCTGGATGGAATTACAGCGAAGGGCACTCCCGTGATCAGACCCGAGTGGATGCACCTCCTCCACGCACGAGGGCCAGCAGGACCCCTCATGTACTCTGTGGCACGGGCCAGGCTGTTCTCCTCGACCTTGTTCCTGGAACGCTGATGACTGGAGGATGGCTCAGTGCTCACGTGGGGGAAACGCTGAGTAGCGGAGGCTACTCCCCTAAGAGCAAAGGTCGCCTCCTCCACTGGTCTCAGAAAGATGCTGCTCAAAGAATCAGGGATGCAGAGACACGGTGGGGTCAGGAGGCAGGCGTGGAGGGCGCCCTCCTGGGGACAGGTGAGAGCTCTGCTTGCGGCCATCCATGTGACCCTAACAAAAACTCCACGACCGTGCCTCGTTTCCTCACCTCCCAGATGGGGACGACCGTAGCTCCTGTCTCGCAGGCTGATGAGAAAGACGCAATGGTAAACCCTGGCAGCCAGCCGGCGCTCGGGATGTGAGAGCCAGTCAGGACACACCCGTGTGTCAGTGCGACACAACCACCATGGCCCCGGGGCAATCTCCTCTCCTGATCGACCCAGATATTGATCCGCAGCCCATCGACAGAAAGGAAGAGCAGATGTTGAGAAAAGTTCACTCCACAAGAAGCGCAGTCACTCTGGGCTTTGGCGAAGACACGCACGGCTTTCACTGCAAAGTCTAATGCGTGCTGACACAGGCTAAGAGCCCGGGGCTCCATCAGCCATGAAGAAATAACCCAAGAGGAGCTGGTTCCAGTCACGCAAGCTCAGGCCTCCCGGCACCCCTCGTGCAGGCACCAGCCGAGCGCGTCCCACCACGAGTGACTTTCAAAAGACAGAAAGAAGAGCCGCCACTCTGCCCTCTTTCTCTGTAAAACATGGCCCTTCCACTCCTCCACGAGAGGTGGCCAAAGGACAGATCCGACCTCCTTTCCGAGACTTCATTTTAATTTTAATTTTTATAAAAGCACCAATACACCCTGTGCTCTCCTCATTGTTTTTTTTAAAAAAATTTCTGTTGATATTGTTCCTTCTAGATAACTAACCCACCTCTCTCTCCAGCTGAGCTCCATCGGAACCTAGGATTAAGCGTTCGACTGGGTAAGACAAAGTGAAAAACACCCCCAAAGGCTTGGAAATCCCAGTTAAGACCAAGTCAGTTAATACATCTGATTAAGGTGAGATTTTTTTTCTTCTCCCAAGTGATTGACAGATGTGAATTCAACATCTGAAAGTATTTCTAGACCTTGGAGGAAGTTTGCATTAACCTTTAATAAAATTACTGTGTTTTTCAGATATGCTTTTCATATGAGAAGTATTATACCCACAGCTGCCTCATTCTGGGTGTGCCCTTCTTCAGAGACCTTTCTCTAACTGAGTGAAATCAAAAAAATTAAATGAAAGACAAGCTATAAAGAGAACTCTCTACTCAGAGTCGGACTAGGTACTGGGTTTTAGTTACAAGATGTCCTGACACTTCTGCTTTGCCTTCCCCCCCTTGCTTCCTTTCTTTCTTTCTTTAAGAGAGATTTTTGCTATAGGGCATGAGTGCTCACCAGAGAGACAGAGAGACAGAAAGTGAGAAATCACCCCCAAGGCGGGATGGCCACGCCACAGTCCCTTCTCCTCCCTTCTCCTCTTGGGATCTTGGGCACGCACGCGGCTGGCATGAGTTTTGTCACTGAGTCTGGGACTTGAACCACCGTCAGCCAGGTGGGAGTCCAGTGACAGGACCATGACGTCAACTGTGGTCTCTCTGTCTGATCTTCTAGCGCCGGCCCTACCTTCAGAGAGCAGAGGCCTGGACACAGCACGCCAGTGGCAAGATCCTACCCCCTTGCCCTCCCTTCCTCACCTCTATCCACCACACCTTAGCCGCCGCGTGATGCTCACCATTCACCCGCCGGCCTTACCTGTCCGTCTTCTTGATCAGGATGGCCCTGAAGATGTGCTGGAGGGGCGTCTTCTCCCACTCGTGAGTGGGCTGCACGAAGGGGTGCAGGGCTGCCAGCGAGAAGCCCTGCTGGTACAGCTCCAGGAGCTGGGCGGGCAGGTCTCGCAGGGAGGACAGCCTCACCGCCGAGGATCGTGGGAGCTCCGCTGTGGGGAGAGAGTTCCATCAGAGGCCGCCAGGACTGCTCTCCCACCCATGCATCCTTCTCCTCTGGCCCAAGGGACCCCCGTTGGTCACCTCCTGTTCCTGTCTTTGCTGTCCTCAAAGAGATCTTATAAGCAGCCTGCCAGTTTCCAGCTTACCCAGAGGCACTCCCAACTTGGGTGTCTGAGATTTAGGGTGTGCCTTCTCAGTGACCACAGTGGGAAGTCCTTTCTGCACCAAGAAGGAGAAGGAAGGGAAGGAGGGAGAGGGGGACAGGAAAAGAAATGGAAGGGAGGAAGAAAAAGACTACATCCACATTCTTTTGAAAAAAGCCACGTGGCTAAAAGTAGCCATGGTGGGGTCGGCTGGTGGCATGGTGGTTAAGGTGGCTGGATCCCATATGGCCAACCCTGTGGTTCAAGTCCCAGACCTGGGCTTGAAAAACATTGTGTGCATGGGTATGCGGACCCCAAGTCCCAGAAGGAGGGAGAACTGGGGGAGAAGGGACGGTGGCCGTGAGGAACGCTGTTTCATTTCCCCCCACCCTCTCTGCTCTCTTCAGTGGGAGCAGGCGTCTTCTGGCAATATGCATTTTCAAGCCACATAAGCAGTCAAAGGCAAACTGGAACAATAGTTCTACGACACTGAAGGGGTAACCTCTTATACGTGGAAAGAAACCATTTACCCCTCCCTCCTCCCCCAACAGGAAAGTGGACAGCTACATGAACACGCAATTGCCTGAAAAGTAAAAATATTTGAAAAGACCCCCGAATTAACTCAACCTTAGAGCTGTGCAGATCAAAACAATAGCTTTTCCCATTTGGATTCGAAATTCGCTTATTTTTGAGAAGGCAGACAAGGCTCGAAAGTCCGAAGATACAAATGAATGTTTAGTAAAAAGCCCACGTCCGAGTCCTATCCCCGCAGCCCAGGTTTTTCCTAGAGGAACCGACACTGTTTTTCTGCATACGAGTTAACCACTGCCGAGTTCACACAGAAGTAAACAGGCACACTGGTCCCCGCCCTCTTTCACACAGAAGGCGGTGTGGACGACACGCACACCCGGCTTCCCATCAGCCAGCACTGCACCTCCCTGAGAGCCGACCCATGGCAGCACTTTCTGATGCCTTTTTACACAGCCAGCGTGTCGTGCCGTTGGTCGCGCAAACTCCTGCTTTTATAATTCCTACCTGGGGTCACGTGTGTGCCCTTAAAGCATATCTACACAATGAATTCTACATGTGGAATTGCTGGGTTAGAATGATATGCGCTGTGATGTTTTCAAATACTGTCAGATTGCGCCCACAGAGCGGGACAGAGTTGCCTACCACCGGTGACACGGAGAGGGGCGTCTTTTTCCACGCCCTGACTAATCTCAGTGAGACCACGATCCCCGTGAGATGGAGATGCACCTTCCCCTTATTGTGTAATTTGTACTTTCTATGCAATATTTCATATTTAAATGCCATGCTTCCTTTTCTGTGAACTCCGCGTTATTTTGCCTCGTGTTCTACTGGGCTATTGGCTATTCTTTTTTCTGTTGGTTTGTCGGAACAATATACATGAGGAAATTCAGTTATTATCTGTGATATCAGTTACAGAGACCTTTCTATTTGCATTTTTTAAAATTTATTTTCTTCTATGAGAGGTAGGCAGAGAGAGGGGGCGGGGGCAGCTCAAACACGGTTTCCCCACCGTGAACATGGTGCCAGCCCCGGGCACGTGCATGGGCACCCGGAATGCACAGGGAGGCTGTGAGGTGTGAACTCAGGACCTCTCCATTTAGGTCCAGCATCACAGCACACTCTGTCAGCACTGTGCTGTTGGCTGGCTGTCGCTGGCCTTTTAACTTTGCATAAGGTAGGCTTTCGCCATAAATAATTCGTTTCTATGAGGCGGAATTTATCAATCTTGTTTTTGATGACTTCTGAGTTTTATGTCATAGCAGAAAGGACTGGGTTTATAGAATAATTCTCCCATGAATTCTAGTAACACATATTTCACTCGCGTGCTTGTAAATCTTTGATCCACTTGGAATTTAGCATGCAATATGAATTCGGCATGTCTCCCCACTCGCAACCCCGCCAGGGGTTTATCCATTTTTTCTCATCGATTTCAGAGGTCCCCTTTATATATTTCTGAATATATTTAGGCTTATGACTGATCCGTTCGTCTGCATGTGTACAACGCTACTTTAAATCATTTCAGTTTCATATCGTGTTTTAATATCTGGTTAGCTATTTTCTGAATCCTAGCTTCCTGATTATTTTCTGCATATTCCTAATTTGTTTGTTTTTTCCAAATATTCTTTAAAAATCAGCTCATCCACCCCCGCCCAAATTTGTTGATATTTTTATAGGATCATGTGCAAACTATACTTTAACTGTGGGAGAATGGACACTCTCGCCATGCTGCAAATTCCCACTGGAGATCATAGCATAATTTTTATTTATTTAGATCGTCTTCTGAGTCCCTTGGAAGCATATTAAAGTTTTCTTCCCATAGATATTACATATTCATCAGATTTATCCCCCATTGTTTTGTATTTATTGCTACCAAAGTAACAGATTTCCTTTTTTCCATTCCTGCGATACACACTGTGGGTGAGGATGTTGGGAGAACAAGCGTGTTCATCAGCCAGTAGGACTGAACCTCTCAAGAGGGTAAGGTAGTGTTTACCTCCAAGCCTAAAATGCACACACCCTTAGTCCAGCAGCTCCTTACTTACTCCCATGACTGGACACGTGGATGTCTTTTGAGGAATACTGGCAAAGATATTCACTACCGGGTTTTCTCATAGCAAAAACCTAGTGCCAAAGAGTTCTTCGTTGGAAGACTAGTTCAATCCTGGGGCACCCCAATGATGAATCCTGTGAACTACTAAAAAGATTCAGGTAAATCTGTTACGTGCTGATATGGAAACGTCTGGGATACATTGCTAAATTAAAAACAGAAAAGCCAGGTGCCTGCTGTGTTTGAATATGTTCCCCTAAAATACATGTGTTAACTCTGACGAGCCGTTGTGAAGGGATTAAGAAGCTGGAATTAATCTGACTATGGGATTAAGAAGTGGAGGCTTCATGGAGTGATCAGGATTAGGTAAGATTAACAGAGTGGGGCTGCCTACTCGAATACTGCTGGGTTTATAAGGAGAGGGAATGAGACCACAGCAGACACCTGGACGCCCACATGCACACGCCTGCCTTCCGCCACACTGTGAGGCAGCAAGTGACCCCCGCCCAATGCTAGTGCCTCAACTTCAAAACCGTGAGCTAAATAAATCTCTATTCTTCTTAGTATTTTTTCAAACTCCCAGAGGGCACATGTGCTTGCCAGAAGGAGAGGCCGAGAGAGGGAGAAGGAGAAAGCACTCCGCTGGTGAGGTGTGGCTACACCACAGTTCCATCTGTTCCTCCATCCTGTCCCGCTTTGGGTCACACATGCGCACACACCAGGCATGCCTACTAGGCTGCTGGGTCAGTACCTGAACCACGCTCAGCCACGTTGGCTCCAGCTTCCCTTAACCACTAGGCTGCAGGCTGACCAGACCTCTGTTCTTGTAAATGATCCAGTTTCAGGCATCCAGTCACTAGCAATACAACAAACAAACCAGTGCCTCACATTAATGGTACGGTGACTCCGTATAAAACGCTTAGTAGGGTAAACATGCATTAAAAATCTTTCTTCTGGAATAAATCACAAAAAGGCAGTACTGGAGAGAAGGACTGCAGTG